AACAGGATTCCTTCGATTCAAGGACGCACTCGCTCGAGCTGACCTTTTGGCCCCAACACTAGCCGATATCCTCTGACTCATGGATCCAAACCACTTGTTGCCGCCCGGCTGTATAAATCCCGGGCTGCCGTTACCATAAACAAAAGGCTGCGTTGTTTGATGGCTTTGTTTCTGTCGTTTGGGTAGTTGGCTTGTTCCATCATCTGCTGTCAGTGGTCAGAGGGACAAATGCAAAGGCAAGTACGAGGAAAACACCTTGTTCTCAACGCCCATCACAGAAGGTTAGTTGATGATTAGTTGCGGAAAGCCGAGCTTTGAGCAAAATTGGTTGCAAGTGTGTATCCATTCTGGAGGCAGGTGTGCAAACATTGGGACCTTAGAAACCGCCGCCGTTCCAACAGGTTGTGGGTCCCAGGCAAAGGTTTGCTGTTTATATGTCCGGCTCTTGGCATTTTTTTGGGATCCCGATTGAACTGATTTTACATGTTCAATGTGGGCCGGAATCAGTTGGGCTGAGGTAGAATTGAGTTACCCTATGTATGCCATTGATTCACCGCAGCTTCCCTGAGCTGAGGACAAGAACCGGGATTACAAGATCGACATTGACGAGTGCCGCACTCAGTCCTGCGGTTCCGAAGGTGGATAGATTGCGACCCCTCTGTGGCCCTCCTTCAACGAATCCGCGTCTCTTGGTACCTTCCCTTCTTTCCAGGGATCTGACATTTTCTGAAGTTTTACTACACAAAAACAAAAAACAAGAGAAACAGCTGGTTTTTGAGAAGATAATGATCCTTGGAAATACGGGAGGCAACCTGCCCAAAACCTGGGCGAAAAGAATCACCCCCTAGTACTAGAGCTTTTTGCAAACTTGCACTTGGACTCGCCCGCAGCCACCAAAGTGAAATGAGTGTGCGCACATGGGGGAGGGTTCCATGTATACCTTTCTGGCTACGTGGTAACGGATCTTTGGACTTTAACCTTTTTGGTTGCAACAAGTGGGATTTTCCCATTGGACCCACAAAAAGTTATTGACTTTTCGCAGGGGTCGTTACCGCAACGAAGATGGGTCATCTTGAGAGTGTCACGAGCAAAACCAAGGAGATCGCAGACCTTCGGACCCGGAAGTCGAGAGCAAACAAAAACGTTGGTTTCCTCTTGGCTTCCCCAACTCACCCAAATAGAAATCCATTGTGAGAAGCTCTATATTGGTCAGGTGAACAATCACCTTTACCAGATGATTGAGAGGATTCCCATGTAAAGCAGGTAGGTTTTGGGATATCCTTCAAGGACCCCTGTAGGCTTGCAGACTTGAGGGTGACGCAGTTCATCTAAATTCTTTAGCACCAAGCGCCCATGATCAAGCAAGTCTTTTGATCATGGATTTATGCAGGGCGGCTTGGCACGAGAAAAAAACATTACAAGACTACCACTAACTGGAAGCAGCGGCAAGATGTTGCGCTTGGCTTCCTGCGTCCACGAGACCCTTGCTCAATTGCAAAGCCCCCAAGCATTTTCAATTTCAAGCCGTCAGACCACGCCCCCAGACCCTGAGCCTGTCCTGCTTCAGGTATAGTCTATTGCACGAGGTCCAACCTGTTTGTGCTCCAACGGCTGACCCTGTTCAATAGGCGGCGGTTTCATGCACGATTGAACATGGCTGAGATTATATACAGTATCTGGGGCTTCAGTATCTTCCGGGCATGGCCACAAGCAGAACTCGCTGATGATTGATAGCCATAGTTCTCTGAAGTCGCAATGGAGAGACTTACAATTCTTTCAGAATGCCCAGTACGACCCTTCCGGCAGAACAACTCAAGCGAGTAGGTGATATGCCTGACATGACCATAAACTACAGCGTGAACAATTGTCGTGGTTGTGGAGTGATGTGGAGTGATGTGGAGTGATATTTGGTGCTTAATTGTTTCCACTCAGGCTAGAGCGGACATGTTGTACGTGGACCACCACCTCGGTCACTGATCAAGAACACACCGGTTTTGTCCAATCTGTTGCTTCGTTCGCCCTGCAAACGACCATCAGAATTATGTACCACGCTATAGTGACTAAGGTTCGCCTTGCAGGTCGATCAACCGGTTCCACGAGGGGCACTCGCAAGATGGGTGAGTTTCAAAATTGCAGCCACGTCCAACTGCTCATCAGGCACTGTTCCTAGTTTTACTTAGTTGTTGCTTTTGGTTGCACGGTCTGGTTTGCTGCTCGAACCTCTTCAACAGTTCCTTAGTAGCTCTGGTCAAAAGGAGAGAATCAAAAGAGGAGCCCAAGCACTCCAACGGGCTGTGCGGAAGTTGGTCACTGCGGGTTGGCAGCGGTTTGTCGGGGCTTCCAGTTAACCAACCCAAGAAAGTTGCCCAAAAACAAAAATGGGACTCAACACACACCAGTTTGGGGTTGTTTGCTTCCGGGAATTGCTTTGTTGGGTGTTGTTTTGCAGAGCGACCAAAACGAAGCAACCCATGTTGGGGTTCTCCATTTTTCCACAGCCTCATGCTTGTGTTTGGCACCAAAAGATGCATCCGAACAGACCCCAACGGAAATACCAACAAACAATCGGGTCAAACATCAAAGTGGTGCGACATGGATTTCGCAATCCACAGAATCAGCTTCCATGGGGCATGCATCGGTACCCAAACCGATGGCTTTCTTGCTTGTCGGGCAAGACCCTATCAGCTTCCCTCTTGGATTGGTGGGTTGGAGGTGTGCCGGGGGTTCCCCGCCTAGAACCAGAGGTCCAAATCCCAACCACAATCTAAGGGTTGCCGGGTTCACTTTTCATATTCGCAGGATGAGAAAAGGGGCAGCCCAGAGGCCCAGAGGCCCAGAGGCCCAGAGGCCTAGAGGCGAGTAGGCCTTTGATCTCCAGGTTTATGGACTGGCTCACGGATGACGACCACCGCGCCGCCCTGCAGCGCGCCGAGGGCGCCGGCCGCACCAACGACGAGGCGCCGCGCCACCGGGGAAAAAGCGAAACCGATGAATTTGGGAGGTACCTTCTTGGGGGCTGGGGGGGGGGCCCACTCAACTTGATGCATCCGGAGACGGAGGATCACACATCCTTGAAGACAATTGCTTCACATTCTCCGACAATCCGCTGAGGGGAGAGGGGCGGGAGAGGGAGCCCAAATAAGCCCTCCTGCCCCTCCCTCCCCCCCAATTCCCATGATTCCTGCGTTTTATTGGAGCAACGGGAAAATACAACTCACTTCCCGAGTTCATGGATTTGACGTTTTTTGGGCTTGGACAATTTCAGTGGTAAGCAAAATGTTTGGGTACTTTTTCCGAGCAGCCATGGTGTTGTTGAGAAGCCAAGAGGAAAGCCACGAGCTTGAAGCCCGACCCTATTTTGACACATTGTCTGCGGAAAGTTGGGTTTGAGATTGCCACTTTCTGTGTTACCAAGACAATCCCCGTCGAAGTGGTCAAGTAGTCATGGGGATGGCCCACATTGGATTCACAAATCATGTGCTAGACCCGGTCCTCTAGTGGTAATACTGTGTATCCTGCACCAATGAACCCTATAAAGACTGGGAGAAGCCACCTACCAACAGGATTCTGTCACTGGAGCCCTTCCCCACAAAGACAAGAGACAAGCAAAATCAACTACCAAGAAAGAGGCTTTTTATTTGATGAGCTGTGTTGAAAATCAACCTGGTGCATGCTTGTTGGATGGCAGGCCAAGTTTTGGCCGCCGGGCGCCTTTGTTCTTTGGGGAACTCACTTGGATCCCAACCGGCCAACCATTAGCCCAAGTGCATGGGTGCTTTGGGCAGGGTCCATGTGGCTTTCAGCCCATTTCCTCTAGAACATTTGGCCAAGTTGCCAACGGGTAGAACGTTGCCTGAAAGACAACATTGTGGGGATTTGGTTCTTCTCTGGATGTCTTGCCTGTTCAGTTTGTGTACGAGCATGTTAGTGACTGTCTACAAGTTAGGTTTATGAACGCCGCTTTTTGCTCATGACAGTTACTTTGGGACAACCAGGCTGTGATACACTGGCACTTGGCCTTCGATCGGATGTGCGTGCTGTCATCGATACCAGCAGCAAAAACACTTGAGTCACAATCAAAACCCGGGTAACTGGAGGGTAGTTAGGGACAATCCCAACCATAAACAAGTGCGGCTGCCGGCATAACTCTTTACATGGTTCTGGGTAGGCTATTTGAATGCCAGGTTTTGATTACGGCTCACTTGGCATGGTGTAAAGGGCCGGGCGACCTGCCAAATTAGACTAATGAAAAAGCCCAAACCCAGAGCCGATCAAACCAGCACACACACAGAGTTTGAGCAAGCCTCACACCAGTCAAATCCATCCATGCGTTCCACCCTTGCATCCTTGTGCTGAGGTAGGCGCCTTTTTTGAACGTTAACCACAAAAGCTAATGAGCTGACGTGGCTAGTGAACAAGTAGGTTTAGCTCTGCATTGTTTTTGCTCTTTCCTTGACGACAAATCAGCCAATTGGCCCTTTGTGTCCCCCTTTGCTCATTCCTTGTTTCGGCTACTGCAAGAACTAGCCATGAGCGCTACTGGGGTGATCGCACCCAGGGGCACCAACCCACAGCTAAACCTCGGTTGCCCAAAGCAAATCGGCCTTTTGACCCTTCAATTTTCCAATGTTGGTCCACTTCTGGTAAAGGTACGAAAAGGTTAATCCGTTTCCTTCGGACAAGTAAGGATGCCCTTTAAACAAAAATCGCAACCAATTTGGGGTGCGTCAGTATTGAGAAGCATTCCAACCTTGCCACCGCCGCTTTTCGTCGTTCAGGACCCGCCAGCCTGCAAGAATTCGTGTGGCTTCAAGGCAGCCAAGGGCTTGACACGCTCCGGCCAGCCGCTGGACACCTGCTGCCGCGGCTGTGCCCGTGGAGGCGGAAAGCGAAGCATGTGTGTGTGTGTGTGTCTCTGTGTGTGTCTCTGTGTGTGTCTGTGTGTGTGTGTCTGTGTGTGTGTGTCTGTGTGTGTGTGTGTCTGTGTGTGTGTGTCTGTG